CTCAGAGAACAAGCTGCATCAGAAATGACACGTACGACATGGCCAGTTACACAGCCACTTCACCATTTTGACAACCCAGCTGCCTCTGGCTGCTGGAAGCATGGCAAGACCAGAGAACCGCAAGCACAAGCCCACTGCATGCTACTCTGGTCATGCAGCATGTTCCTTGCTCAGCAGCGCTGTTGTATACAAAATACCATGACAGTAAATGTGGGATTCTAGAAGCTCACAGATGGTACTTTTGACTGAATAATTATGTGTAGAAAAGGCAAATCTGTACCTAGCATAAGTGGGCAAAGTTTTGTTATTCCATCATAGCTTGCTACAAGGTCACAGACCAACTGCCCTAGGAAAGGGACTAAGTAAGGGACTCAGAGTGGGTCTCTGAGGCTGGCAGATCTGGCACTCAGCAGGTGCCACAGCTGGGTCAGCCCTGGTAGGGGGAACTCCATGTTGCTCTGCTCACACATCACGTGCTTCTCTGTCACCATGGCACCTTTGTTCCTGAGCCCATGGGCAAGGGCAGGGGTCAACAATGGACTGTTGTCCCCAGAATGGCTCATCCTGTCCACTTGGTCATCAAGTCCTCTTTTGCTGAGGTGACCTCTTGGTGAACATTTACATGAAATGCAAATTTCTTCACACACTTAGCCTAGATGAAGAGGTCTAGCCACTTACTCTGCATGCGCTTGCCCTCAGTGTTCCAGTCATGCCCAAGTCCCTGAGTACCCAGCCAGGCCATTAGCTACAGTCTATCTGGCTACTTTTTTCTTCCAAGGAAAGTGTGCTAACAGGTGATCTGCCCAAAGTTGTGTCCACTCTCAAGACTTCTTTTCACCACTGTGCTTGCGCAGTATCTCCAAGAAAGGCATTGAGTGTTGCAGCTGTTCGCTTCTGAGTGGTGCCTGCACAGTGTGCAGAATCATCTGTAAATGATTCTGTGAATGTAAATGATCATCTGTAAATGATTCCCCTCTTTCTTCTTCTGTGATCACAAAGCATTGCCATGAGGCGAGAGACAAATTCTGGGAGACAGAAGGCATAGGAACCAGGAATATTTGGACCATTTCTTTGGGCAAGTTACCTGTGCCTTCTCATTCACAATGGGTCAGCTCTTTATCCATATTTCAGCCAACCAGCCAAATAAACTATTAGAATAGATTTTTTTAACAGTTTTTGAACTGAGCCAGCGAGATAGCTCAGTGGCACAATGCCTGCCTGGCCCAATCTCCACCCCCACAAAAAAAGTTCATAGTCGCAACACTGAATGTAGATTTTGCTTAATGAACCCATATCAAAAAATTCAGGTGCGTTCAGGGTTATACTTCTCCCACCATTATCTTATGCCCTTGAAATTTATTTCCATGTATGTTCCCAGGCTTCTGTTACTATGAATTAGAAACGGAAGTTCTTCAGGAATGTGGCATATCTTCCTGTGTCACTCTTGTATACTACATTTAGAAGCTTTCTGGGATTTGAATGTGGTTTTAGGCCTAGAGGCAGAAGTGGGTGGTAGGGTCCATCCTAAGGAGCATCCTAAGGACCTGTGCCAGGGAAGGTCATCACCGCCTGCACAGGCAGCGTGACATCGGTTCATTGAGGTGGGATGAGCAAGCCAGTACCACAGCAGGTGGCCACAGAGATGCCTCTGCCACGAAGCATGGGAAAGCTCTTCCTCTTGCAAAATAATCTCACCAAAATTTAGGAGCTCACTGTCCCCAGACTCCTCGGGTGCCCCTTAAACATCTCCATCCCAATTTATGGATCTTTTCTGATCTCTACATTCACTTGAAATGCAGACATCCACAGAGGCTAAGCATTCAATTGTGCCGTGCTGAGGGCTTGAGCGTGGTTTTTCAACAACTTCAGCACCATGCTACAAGCCAGAAGACTGCCCTGAGGACACCTTTAGAAGCATGTAGCTTGTTTATGCACATACAGGACTGGGAACTTGAGTCTTTGAGCTTTATTACCTTGTCCAGAGGTGCTGAAAGCAAGCAGGCAACAGCACTGTGTTGCTTAGTCCTTCAAAAGTATTCAGAAGTATTATACACAGTCATCAAATTCCTTCTCACAAGTAGAAAAGATAATCACATGAATATGTGTCACATTATTTTAAATAGCCCATGCCACAAATTATTAATACTCTACATTGTCAGAAGATGATGGCAACTTTAGGTCTCATCAAATTAGAGTCAACTCCAGGAACTGCTAACCTGGTCCACAATTTTGTTTCTTTAGAACCACTCCTGGTACCAACATTGGTACTGAATGGGGTCTCTAGAGAAGCATAGAGACTATGCATACTTACACAAGGGGATTATGTATGAAAAGGGAAAATTGCAAGAGAAATTGTTCTTTTTAAACTTTGGACTTGTGAACGTGCCTAGCTCTGCAACTGCTTCATGGCTTTATGACTGCTTTCTCCACCTCTGTAACCTTGAGGGCATAACTGAACATGCAGGAGGCCCAACAGTACTGTTGCACCAGGCTTCATGACTTCATGACTAAGATCATTAATCTTCCCTTGTAACCAGTGATCTCACCCTGCCAGCTGATCAGAAGAACTGCCAGGCTGCTGGGTCTCGCCTTCGTTCTTCCTGCTTCTGCATCATACAAAAACTGTAGACCACAGAGATCAGGGCCTGACATTCTGCAAATCACCTTGATCAGTGCCCATTAACATAAATAAATCCACCTCCCAACCCTGGGTGTCTTCTTGCTATTTCTGCGGCATTGCATCAGGTGTGCTGGTCAGCATGTGACCATGCTGACCTCTTTGGTCACCAATCATGGCCTTCTCACACAGAGGAAGGACTGCTCCAGCCCCCAATGGGAAGG